ATTATTCCGAACCACTATGCTTCCGTCCCACAGCTGCAAGCCGTTTCACCATCCCTCCTCCTCCATCACCCTTTGTATCGCCCCAATTTTAATTACTCGGAAATATTACCAAAGCCTGTAATTTAGGTCCATTTTATTTTATTTTATATATGTATATAAATATCTATTACACTTGAGTAATAGAAATACATCGATACATGTTCTCTCTCTCAATGAATATTACAATGACAACAATACACTATGCTTCCGTCCCACAGCTACAAGCCGTTTCACAATCCCTCCTCCTCCATCACCCTTTGTCACGCCCCAATTTTAATTACTCGGAAATATTACCAAAGCCTGTAATTTAGGTCCATTTTATTTTATTTTATATATGTATCTAAATATCTATTACACTTGAGTAATAGAAATACATCGATACATGTTCTCTCTCTCAATGAATATTACAATGACAACAATACATGCCAATCTCCTACTGTGCTACAAATAAATAATTACCAATACAAAATCCACTTCCTTTACATCTGCCATGAAGTTATACAAAAAGACTCAAGAACCCCATAAATCTTCAATCAAATAGTCCAAACTACCTTCCTGTAAAAAGATAAAACAACAACGGGGTGAGCACTAATGCCCAGTAGGAATCTCATAGTTCTCAATCAATAACTAACACACAGATAGAAATGATCATGCATGCAAGGTGATACCATATAGTAAGATGGCATTTTGTAAGTTCAAAACATTATATTGAAAGTATCTTTTCTTAAAATTTCACCTGAACCTTTAAGAAAACTCCCTGCCATAAATGTAGTCTCTCATCATTAGGAATCCATAGATTTTCTTTGAAAAACACGTACACTTAAGGAAGAACATCATCTTAAATTTATCAACTCAATTCCAAATTATTCTTCATCTCGTTTCCATTTTAATATTCCACATTTCATTTCCATTCTAATATTACATATTTCATATTTCATTTCCATTTCCAATTACTATACTCCATAACATCAAAATCCAAAGGATTAGAGTTTAACATGACACAAGAATCACAAACCCCTTTTTAATTCAATTTCCCAATTACTTACAAAACAAAACTCATAATCTTCCTTTTTGTCACAAGCAATCCATTGAGTTCATCATCACTAGCCCCTAATCCAATTACCCACATGATGCCAATTTCAATCCTTAATCCATTTTCCTTCAGTTCATTTATTCTTCTCAATTCATGAGTCAATTTCATTATCTTTCAACAACTAAATTGAGGCTACAACTCAGTGGTTTTCCAATCATACACAAAACACATAAACATTTCAAACTGCCATTTTACGAAAATTTCGTCAGCGGGATCGGCACCCATGTATAAATTTCGGGACTTTCACCCAGGACACTTCGGCCAACTTAGTTATAATGGAGTGCATCCCCTTTCTCCTCTCAAACAAACATACATATATAATGTATTTAATCACATAATCACACATGGTGTACATCCCCTTTCTCCTCCCAAACAATCATACATATACAATGTATTAAAACACACAGTCATATTCAATGACAACCATTTATCAGACTTATCATATCATTTACTCTTTTCAACTAGCACAATACATGTGATCCAAAGTATGATTTTCAAAGGAAACAAGTGCACTTAAAACATAACACAAGAATTTCCAAAATCTCTTTCCAAAACATACAGTTTAAATCCTCAAAATCCATTGCATGTTCCATGATATGCATGATTTATAAATAGTCCGGTTTGCCTAGTCAACATGCAATTTCTACAACAATCATAGCTATCTTCCACCGATAGCCCAAAACAAATATATCTAAACCGATAAATAAATTCCTTTAAAGATACGCTTTTCCAAAATCTCATATGGGAGTGAAATACATATCAAGCTCCACTATCATCATTAATAATCCTCTGATTTCACATTTACAATAACAATTTCAATTATTTATACAAAATAACAATTTGATCCAATTAGGGCAAAACTCCATTTTTTTTCCAAATATCAACCCAAACTCAATACAACCCAACACAACTCAACTTAATTCAACACAATTCAACATAGTCAACACTATTCAACATGATTCAATTCAACACCACTAAATGTAATTCAATATAGTTCAAGGTGAACTCTTAAATACCTATTTCATCATTTCATCCCAAGTCTCATGTCATCCATATCATTAACTAATCTTTTTTCCCAAATTTCATTTCATATTATAGCATGATTTACAATATCCATAATAAAGGTTCATTCGTTAATTTTTGACATAATTTTCAAACATTTCCAAAATTTAATTAAACTTGTATATATATAATTCAACCTCTCAATTTCATGATTCTACTTTCAATTTAGGTAAAATCATTAATTATCATCATGAGTCTATAGACCGCCCGGAACTCCGCTCCACGCGCGAGGGTGCGAATCGTTGTTCTTAGCTTTTACAGTTCGGACTCATGTCACGGTTCTGAACCTAATCTCACAAAGTGCAATATGAGACTGATAAATCACCAAAGAGTCCAAATCTGACAAATCGTTTTGGAAAATCGATTTTAATCAAAAAACACCAAACATGGATTGCTTTGCCAGATTTCAGAGTCGCCACCTAAATATTTTGTTTTTGGAAAATTTAAGAAACCCTGACTCGTGCCTAAGGCCACCTGTCCGTCATCACCAAAGTTGCCTCGGCTCGGGAACTTGGGTACGAGAGGGAAGGTCATGCAATGAGCACCCCCGTTTGCCTGATCAAAGGATTGACTTTTACTAACATGATATGTTGTTTTTGAAAACACATGTGCTCTTATTCCGGTTTATTAGCCTAATTTACTATGTGATACGCACAACATACAAGTATAGACTAGATTGCCTAAATTGGAACAAAAATCTCATGTTTGTTTGTTTGAAAATGGTTTGAAGGTGCTGCTCGCAAGTAGGCTAATACGCGGATTTAGTAGTGGGGCATTTATACATGCATTGTATGTACTTGTGTCAACATGAGAAAGGGCTTGTGATCCTCCTTTATATATAGATCCCACATACTCAAATCTATCATGATTAGACTACTTCAGCCATTCAATTTCCAGTTCATTCTATGGGCAGTGTAAACAGATTTGAAGCTCTATAATCAAAAGGCAGAATATGAATACGTCCAACATTTTGTTTACCTATCTATGTAATATATAATACTGCAAGGGTAAAATATGAGATATACAAGATAAATACTTACCTAATGCTGAGAAAAATTACTTGTACTGACAATCATATAAAGAGTTCAAAAACCCCAACAGATGCGGGATTTTCCCAATAACTGTGAAGATCTCAAGAGCATCAACTACCTACAACATGTAGGAACACAGGCATAGTAACATGCCACATAAACAATCCCTCCCCCTCCCTTTTTTTCTTTCTTTATCACCAGGAAAAACAAAAAAAGGGAAAGGAAAGGAAAGGAAAGGAAAGTAAAGACAATCAAAAAAAAGAAAAGAAAACCAAAATACTGCCAGCCAAGCATCTCTCTAAAAAATTATCAAGGGGAAAACAATTCCATGCCAAAACCCTAATGTGCAACTGTGCGTACCTTCAGTTTCAAGGAAACTCTATCCAACGATATGATGCTGGTAAGGACCGTGTAAAATATGAAGTTGTCATATGGGAAAAGTTCATAAGTTGTGAAAGTTGAGATCGAATCAAGAAACAAACTGGTGGCTTTCTTAAAGTTTCGAGTAGACATGTAGTATAAGCCTTCATACACCTTTAGACGATTCTTCCTTTCCTAGTCACCTCCCTCCTCAGGCCACCACCCCTTACTTCTTTGCTTTATCAATGCTCTTGGAAATAAGATCGAAATCCATATAGAAAAAGCCAATCTGTAGCGTATGGAAAACCAGGTCCATTTTCTGCCCAGCAGCTACTGTCTTGCTTTCTGTTAACTTGAGCTATTCCAGAGCCTTCTCCTGGGTTTACATCACGACAAGTTAGGAATAAAAGAAGTCTACAGAAATGCATAAAAAATAAGAAGATGATTAAAGAATTGAAAGACATAACAGTTATATACCTTGTCGCCAATTCGTATGAAAAACAATGACTTGGCTAAATGGGCTTCTCTAATTTCGCTTTCACATAAGTTTTCTTCAGCATCAGCAATCCTAATAAAAAATGCAACCCGATAAAAGTATAAAAGAGATCAAACAACTGTACATCATATACACTTGCGTTACATTTAGATACACAGAAAGGGGAGTGAAGGGAAGTATAAATTAGTGATGGAAAAAAAATGGAGGGGAGATACCCCTCTTCTTGTTTGGTTAGATAATAATTGACCAAGGGCTAGGTAGGGTGACCTTTCCGCCCTTTTGTTTGGTTAGACAATAATTATAAAGGGAAGGTAGGTACAAAAGCCAAATAGGTAATGTTTAAAAAGTAGGGGCTGTTTGGATAGACATGGATTTCAAAAATCAAGGGATTTGACCTTGATCATTCAAGGACAATAACTCAAATTTAGAAATGCTAGTTTATTTATGTATTTCAAGATTGAGTTAAATAGTTTTATCATAATAGATTTGAAATAATTATATAAAACTAGTTATTTGAAATCATGCCAAGAATTATCTTTCTAAATATAAGGATCCTCATGCCATATAAAACTACTTATGTTTTCGTAAAATGAGGGGTATAATTGGTATTAAAATTATATTTAAAAACCAGCACTTTGCTTCCCCTCCATTTCCTCCCAATTTTAGAGGAGACGGGAAGCGCTCAATTTGTGGACCCTCTCTCCCCTCACAAACCCTCCATATACTTTCCATTGTTTTCTCAAAAACAATCCAAACAAAAACCAATAACTGAACCATAAGCATCATCAGGCATTGTCTCCATTTGTGCATCTGTAACAAAGGCCCAAGAAAAAAAAAAATGAACCATCAATGCAGTTAGATCTAATAATTCCTTTCTGCTTTGATTGTATCTTTCCTTTTGTGTCCACGAGGAAGTATCTGCTCAGTTGGAATAATAATGATTAAAAACAGAATTATGGAAAACCCATATACCTAGATTGTGACATTTTATTCAGAAAATGTTCTAAATTATGAAAATTATACTCTGGTTCTGTTGATTACCCTTCCTTTTGAAGATCCTTAGAGACTTGGTCATAGAGAACTTGTATATTGTCGAGGTTTGAGTTGCCACAATAGTGATGGAAATCAAATGAAATATATCTGAATCAACTAGAAGTATAAATTAAAACTTCCCCTATATTAAGTAGGGAATGAAAGTCTAAAAGATGATGTTTTCATTTAGAAACAGAGCATGTGAAAATGATATGTAATATGCATAGATTTTCCATAAAAAAATGAAAAGCTGCTATGATTCAATCTATCTCTCAAATTTCAGCAAGGCCGGAAAATCTTATCCTTCCTAATTGCACGTGATAATGGTGGTTGAAGAAGAAACAAAAAGTTGATCATGTACAAATGGCAACTGAAGCTGTCACCTGCTTTCATCTCCTCCAATCTTTTTCACTGTTTTTTTTCCTGTAATCTTTCTTTAGTTTATCTCTCAGGTATCTTGTTAATAAGATTTTCAAAAGCCGAAAAGGCAAACAAATATTCTATTTATGATGTGTTTCAATCATCCAAGTCACATGTTGACCTAGATGGTTTCTAATGTACTGACAATATAAAATATATTCCAATCAATGCATCAGAAACATGGCATAATCTGAAGCGCAAGTACAGGCACATATCCTAGAACCTCTTCTCAGCACCAAAATTGGAACTCAAGCAGAAAGAGACAATGACACATCTCTTTTGCATTTATACATCTCTTTCTACTAAAAATACAATTTTTTCAACATTTTATAACATCAGATCCAGACATCTATTTTTCTAAAATTTTTCTGAAAAATAGAAATTAGTTTGACAAAAATAAACACCATAATGATATTTTTGAATTTTAAAAAATTATTTTCTCCCTAAAAAATTGTAAGACTATATAAAAATGATGAGTGTTTTTTACTTATTATTTTTTCACTAAATTAGATTTTAGTTTTTTTCAAAAAAAATCAGAAAATAATGCTGCAAACCAAACCAAACCAAACCAAACCGATCAATGGATGTCTAAGCAAACATCTATCACTGTGGATATTATATGTTCAAAATTAAAGATTTCCATACTCAGAAATCTAAAAAAAGTTCACAAATTGCAATGAACATGAAAAGAAAATCACCTCACATTTGGCAGCTTTTCCATTTCAGTAGCATATGCCATACTCAGTTGACCCTCATCGCCATGCTATAACACAAGATAACATAAAGATGAATATTTGCAATTGGAGAATACAAAACAATAATTGCATAAAATTATATGTAAACTTATGTGCATAAATTTCCAGTTTGGAATTCCATAAAGTGGACCAGCTGACCTAGACAATGTCATGGAAACTGACTCAAAGAATGTAAAATTTTTTTTGCTACCATAGTGATAATTTCCTATTTGAACCATCATAGAGTTTCTTTTACATAAAAAAAATAGACTTCAAAGAACAACATTCATATTTGTTACCTGGATTTCTCCACTTCCAGTAAGAAAACCATATTGAAACTACGCCCCAGGTTAATGTCCTAGTGTGGTGCTGGAAAGTCTTACCTTATTGGTTAGGTCAACTGCTACAGTCTCTCCGTATCTTTCTATAATATCATGAAAATGGCGCTCCACAACCTTTGACTAAAGGAAGAAAAACACAGTTAGATGCTCATCATTACACAACTTAAACATAAAGAGCTGTATCCAGAAGAAAATACATACTGTTTGCTCATGATCAATAATATTAAGTCGTGGTTTATAGCTCAAATCAACAATTTGCTCCCAAATGAGTGGAATTGAACCTCGAATCTAAAGCAAATTAAGAAGTAGCTGTTACTCATTGGTTCACTTGCCAGAAATTTACTTTGGGGTCCAGGGAAGAAAAAAACAAGTTAGCCAGTGAATTGGTCCACTTAAGATATTGAGTTGAAAAGATATTAACCGGAACAATTAGTATCTGAAGGCACATTTCCTGTGGAAATAATACCTGTAAAAATGAAGACATAGAACCTTCAAGGTTAGCCCCTCTTTTCCACATTCGGGTCCCTCCATTCAATATAACAACCAGTTACTACAATGTTTTGCCATAGCCATATTAATAGGAACAAAAACCAGTGATGTCTATATTGCACTACCTAAGCGCCATGTACACCTCCTTGAAATTAAAGTAATTATGGCTGGTGAATTTTTCAGCTTGAGTTGTCCAGTCCGATAGCTTATGCCTTGGTTAAGTGAAAACACCATAAATAAGAAACTACTCTTGCATCCATAGTTACCTTTAACACGCACGCATGTGCTCATGCATAAACACATGCGCGCACACGCACACACAAAATAAGCATTGAAAAGCTTCAGGATATTCCCTTGTAACAGAGGGATGATAAACCCATCAAGCTGCATAGGAAAAATAAAACATATTAGACAAAGAATTTGTTTCAGTGATCATATTTCAGATGTCCAAATAGGCAACGTTGATTAATCACTTAGAAGTACTTGGTTTGTTTTTTATTGCAAACTTAATGCAATATTTGTGTCCTAAGGAAAGACAGGTGAGTACAAAGCAATGATAACATCTTTTGAACATAAGAAATGTTAACCTTATTCTCAATGAGCTCCTCCAAAATATTTCTGTTCCAAACAAATCGGGGGTCAACCTCAAATACAAATAAGAATTTAGAATCCCAGACTATTCAGCAAAGTTGTAGCTACTGTTACTTGAAAACAACAAAAGAACAAATGATGTTAAATTTTTTACAGACACACCCCAGACAATACTTGATAGTCTCTTACCAACAGTCTGTTATAAACAGATCTTACAACTATGGAGTAATGAACCAAATTCTGAAGAATGAAGAGAAACTTAATTATGATGAGTTTGAATTTTCTTGAACTAGTTAATATCTTCACCCAACTGTCATTTCAGATTTTAAAAAGTAATCAAGCAACTTTGTCAAAGTACTGTATGAGTAATTTGGCCCACAGAGACATCTTTTTCCTTATATAGAAGTGTACAACATGCAATTTGGAAGTCACATTGATAATATCTGTTAAATTCATCAGGTTTGAGTTACTTCGAGTAAAAGTTAGCTAAGAAACACAGTAAGCAGACAAACCTGCTTCCAAATTGGTTTACTCATTACAGAGATACTAAAGTGCAAAGCTCATTAGCAGGAACAACTAATTAGCTAGGCTTATGGGGCTTCGAATAGCTCTGGTCTAGTTATGAGGCTTCAAATTATTTTGAAACAAGAAAACAAACAAAAAAACAACACTACAAGTCTACAATATTTAACCCTATTTTCTGACATGACTTTTGAAGTAAAGAAAGCTTCAATTAAAAATAGAAAACTCACCCCTTTTGACAAATAGATTTTTCTTTGCCATCTCTGTGTGCAAAACAGACTTTGATTCCTCATCAAACACCATCTCCTAAACCACAAAACCAAACCCAATAATAATTTAGTACAACAGAGATCGATTAATCAAAACAAATAATATAGGTAAAGATTGTGAAGATGAGAACCTGAAGGGCATCTTTGGCAGCAATGGCAAAAGGAGGAGTAGTGAAGAGAGCGAAACCCATAGGATGTTCACCTTTGCAGTTAACCTGCGAAGCCTCGTAACGAGGTAACCATCTGAGAAGGTTCTGGAGTTCTCTCTCCTTCACATCCTCCGGGAGGCCCGATATGAAGATCGTTCGAAACTAGAAACCATCTAATGGATCTACTAATGATTTGAAAATGAATCGATCGAATTGATGAAATGAAATTGAAAATGTACCTCGTTGTTGGAGAGGCGATTAGGGTTTTCCATGGGCATGGAATGGTGGTGAAGAGGAGGAGCAGCCGTGGGAGTAGGAGGAGGTGGAGGAACAGTCGCCGGCGGCCACTACGGATGGTAGGGATGGATTTTTGATCGTTCGAACCTAGAAACCAAACACAGTGATGAATCTAATGGATCTACTAATGATTTGAAAATGAATCGATCGAATTGATGAGATGAAATTGAAAATGTACCTCGTCGTTGGAGAGGCGATTGGGGTTTTCCATGGACATGGAATGGTGGTGAAGAGGAGGAGCAGTCGTGGGAGTAGGAGAAGGTGGAGGAACAGCCACTGGTGGCCACTGCAGATGGTAAGGGTGGATTTTTGATAAATTTTTTTTTGGGGGGGAGGAGAGGGGGAGAGGGAAAAACAAGCGCGAAGGGAAAAATAAAGCTGAGCACTCAGATTGCGTTTTTTTTTTTTTTTTTCATGTTTTTGCGACGGTGGTTTATGCGGTCGCAAAAACTTGCTTTTTTGTGACGGGAAGTAGTGCCGTCGCTTCAACCCGATCTATTGGCGACGGCAAGTGGTGCCATCGCAAAAACTCACTTTTTGCGACGGGAATAGTGTCGTCGCAAATACTTCCGTGTTATATGTCCCTTTTCCTTGTAGTGTAGGGCAAACCTCCTTTCTTATATCAACCAAAACTCAATACAACCCAACACAACTCAACTTAATTCAACACAATTCAACATAGTCTACACAATTCAACATAATCAACACACTTCAACATAATCAATACAATTTCACATAATCACCACAATTCAACATATTTTAACTCAAAACCACTAAATATAATTCAACATAATTCACGGTGTACTCTTAAATTTTCATTTCATCATTTCATCCCAAGGCTCATGTTATCCATATCATTAACTAATCATTTTTCCCAAATTTCATTTCATATCATAGCATGATTTACAATATCCATAAATAAGGTTCAATCACTAATTTATAATATAATTTTGAAACACCTCCAAAATCTAATTAAACTTGTACATATATAATTCAACCTACCAATTTTATGAATCTACTTTCAATTTGGGCAAAATCATTAATCATCATAACGAATCAACTTAGGGTTTTCAAGGAAAATTAAGATTTTTAACAAAAATTCAAACTTCTTAAACCACTACTTTTAATTTCAATTTTCCTCTTCATTATACACATAAGGTTCATAATCCACTATATTAACCCAACAGTTGAACCCCCAACACTTCAAACTCTAAACCCCCAAAAATCATAATGTACACTATATGCTCGAAAATGTGGGTTTTACATGTATATAATCAAAATACCACAAATCTATCTATTTATGGAAGTATTGAAGAAGAACTAGGACCCCTACCTCAAGAATCAAGCAAAGGAGCAAAGCTTTGATGAGATTCTACCACAAATCCGAACTTCAATCGGTTGAAAAGTGCAATCTTCAAGCCTTCTTCATTTCTTTGTAAGAGATCTTGGCCAATCCTTAGGAAAATGGAAGGAATTTGAGGTCAAAACTCTAGGGTTTTCGGACCTAGGGTGAGAGGAATGAAGAAGGAAAAGGAAAATGGAAAGAATGGGCTAAAAATCACGTTTTTAAGCTGCTGAATTCGCGCAGTTCGCTCGAGCGTATATTTCCACGATCGAGCGTACCTGCTTCTAGCACAGATATGAAAACTTCAAATGGGTATAACTCTCTCATCGGGACTCCGTTCTAGGTCGTTCTTGTGTCCAAATTGAAGCCCCAGAAACAAGCTTTCCAATGGTTCCAGCCTCACATTCAAATTCAAAGTATGGAAAAAGAAAAGGACAAAAGAGTGACGGTTGTTTGTAGTATGATTATTCGAATTAAAGTTTTTGGTCCAATCTTACTTTACCATCACGTTACCACTCCGATCAATGTCCCAAAATAAAATAGGAAGGCTCCAAACACAATAATAAAAGGGCAAAAACAATCCCACTAGTCTCGGAAATTCAAACTCAACTAGGCAGACCACTCGAGATATGAAAACTTCAAACGGGTATAACTCTCTCATCGGGACTCCATTCTAGGTCATTCTTGTGTCCAAATTGAAGCCCCAGAAACAAGCTTTCTAATGGTTCCAGCCTCACATTCAAATTCAAAGTACGGAAGGAGAAAAGGGCAAAAGAGTGAAGGTTGGTCAAAAACTCAAACTGAAACTTGGGGCTTTTTATCCAATCTTACCTAAATACCTTGTTAAGACTTCAATCAAGGTTCCAAACATCACCCAAGGGTCCTCAATTATAATATTTAAGGTTCATTTGCCAACCCATTAATATCAAGAGTCCGACAACCATACAAGTTTTAAGGTGACGGGCACCACTTTGCACCAATCCAATGTAAATTAAAATCCGAGTCATTACACCCTCACTTCCGACCCCTATGTCTTACCAACCCACAAATCATGCAAATAAGATCCAAATCACACAAAAATAATACCCAAATCAGACAAAATTATATCCAAATCATACAAAATAAAATCCAAATCACACAAAATCATCCCCATTGCCACAAAGCAAACCCCTTTCTAATGACTCCTATTTCTCCAAACAAACGGTGTTGGAGTTGATGTATATTGAGGCAATGGAGCTAGTGTTGCTGAAATTTTTCGGTGACATAGAAGGTTCAGAAACTACTAATGGCAGTTAGTGGAGTTTGGTGATGATGAAGGAGACCAAGGGAAGAGAATTATGAAGACATTTTAGGGTTCAGATAAAGAATATAGAGGATAGATATGGTAGGGTTATTAATGTCTTTTTATGTTATTGTGTACAGGTAACATGGTAATTTTATCTTTTCCATTAATTTTGTCAAAAGACACGCTAATAGGGGTATCAGTGTAATTTCTAAAACGTGAGGGGGAAAGTTGTATTAAATGCAAACCTTAAGGGGTGTCAGTGTAATTTACTCAATTAACAATTGTTTGGGCGAGAAATTTATTTTAATTAAGCAATCTCAACCTTTCAATATTTATTTAGGTCAATCTTTAGTTTATTTCGAATCAAACAAATCTGACCAATATATTTTGGTAAAACCGCTAAAATCACCGTTAAACCAACAAATCATTCAAACCAAAAATGATTTAACTTAATCAGTTAGGTCAAAAGACCAACCAGATTATACAAAAATTAATTAATTAAAACTTTTAAATTTTATTTTATTAAAATTTAAAAACAATCTATTAATTTAAATTTAAAATTAACATAATATAAATTTAAAATTATAATAATCTATCCCATGATTTATAAGTTTTAAATACAAATTTTAAATTATCATAATTATTTCATAATTTTTGTATTAAGGAGTAATAAGAGTGACATTGAGATTATCAATATATCTGTATATTTTACAAAACAATACTTTTAAGGAGAAATATTATAAGAGTTTCAAAATCTCATACAAAATTATTTTTAAAATCAAAACCTCTATGTGAGCTCGTAAAATAAAAGTTAAATGGAAGTTAGCTAATGGAGATTTTCTTAATTGTTTAAAATTAAGAAAATCCAAGAAATTAGTATGAGATATTGATCATAAGGCTTCTAGATAAAAATCTCCTTTTGCTTATATAAATTAGAGTATAAGATTCATTTTATGTAAGTGAAATAACTCACTTTTTCTTTCTTTTACCGATGTAGGATTGTAAAATAAAAGGTAAATGGAAGCTAGTCAATGAGAATTTTCTTAATTGTTTAAAATTAAAAAAAATTTAATAATTTTAGAATGAGGATTTAGAGCTCTTAGAAGGTTTCTCTCTAAAAATCACATTTTCCTTATATAATATACAGATTTGAATTATCACTCGCTAGTTTTTAAAATATACAACTAAATAATTTTTAAAATTTTAAAAACTCTTTTAAAAATTTTAAAAACTCTTTTAAAAAATATATCTTTTAAAATTGATTTTCAAATCGAACCAAACGGCTTCTTTTAGTCTTTTGGGTAAGTGAAGTATTTTTTTGTTGGATCTTTTAAAAATGACATTTTTTTTTTTCAATTATTAAGATTTTGGACGAAGAAAATTTTGGAGACTTATCCAATATGGGGACTAAAGCCATTGTTTGAATGGTCTACGACATGAGTCGGCCGGGTGTTTAACTGTCATGACCGGACTGGCTAGTTGTAGGTCGATCAGTTTCTATAGGTAGAACCAAAGTATATCAATATCAAAGGACCAAAGAGAAGAGAATAAATTACTTGCTTACACTCTGGTTTATAAAAAAAATAAGGATAAAATAAACTACTTGCTTGCATTGCAGTCTGATTTGGAGAAAGGGAGAACAAATTACTTGCTAGTTCATTACATTCATATATACAAACAAAGTGCATAAAAATAAAAATAAAAAATAAAAAAGTATACAATTTACTAGATTGGAAAGAAAAGAAAACAGAATCTAACTAGCCATGGTGTTTAAATTTGAATTTGGGGTGATTGTTGTGCTTTATGCACGGGGTCACTGTTATGCGGTCAATAGGGTCTATTATGGGTCTTATTTCAATAATTTGAATCATTCACTTTTAAAGTATATCAAATAAAATATATCTGCGAAAAAATCAAATTGATCGGATATCGATAACTTTTTCATCTAATTACATTTGTATTTTAAAAAAATGAATGGTTAATGTGATTTTGTGCATAAAATAGAATGTAAATGTACTTAGGTGAATGGGCTACCAATATCCGATTAATTTAATTTTTTTCAAATATATTCTACTCAATATCTCTAAAAATTGAATGATTCGGATTATCAAAATAAGGCTCGAAGTGAGGCCAGTTAGCTGTAAAACAGTGACTGTTGTGCTTTATGCACAGTAGCTACATATACTCATCTTCCTTAACATTTCGCAACATTTGTCCTTCTATTAGCATTTAACAGAATTAATCCATTGGCTAGAGCTCTTAAAGTGTACGAAGAGGTTAAGAGTTCGATTCTTTCCACCTGCATAAGGGTCGTATTACCCTTGCAATCATTTGGGATATCTCTCTCCTTCTTCGGGAGTTTATTTGTAGTCATCTATGCTATAATTGTTGGTTTAAACTACGTCAATGTATTGAGATACATTGTAATTTTTTTTTAAAAGAGTAATTACATTGATGGCCCTCAAAGCATACATTACGTTACATTTTAAATCTCAATATTTTAATTGTTCTATTTCAAGTCTCAAAGTATATCATTCGTTACACTGTAATTCTTGATGTCAACACCAATCAAAATGAGTAAAAACAGAGATATTTATAAAATTTTACATGAAATTACAGCGTAATGAGGAGCCTAATAGGTTTGACTTGGTGACTCTACTCCCGTTGATGCTCGACTTTAGAAAGAAAAATAAATTATATTAATTTGATGTGTCTAAATAAAATAATAATATTAGGTTGTTTTACAACACATTTTTTTTAGTATATATTATATGTAAGTTATGTCATTTATATCATAAATATTATAACTAAATTACTTTTATATTCAAAATAAAAAATAATATAATGGATCATGATCAAATATCACTTATGACATGATTAAGACTTTTTCGATCATAACCAAAATAATAATTGTAATAAGTTATAACACTACAACAAATGACGGTTTTAAAAATAAAAATTTAGGGATAAAATCACTTTTTAGATACGTAACATTTTTTTGGGGGTCAAAAATAGCATTATTGTATTTTTAGAGACAAAAAAATTATTATTTTTTTGGGACCCAAATTTTATCTAAAAAAATGATTGTCCCTAAAAATGTATCTACCAGCAACAATTTTAAAATTTTATTGCTAAAACTTTTTTTTTTTTTTTCGAATTGACCTTTTAGCAATTATTCTCGTGACAACACAAATTGGTTCTTAAATATTTTTTACAACAAAATTTTTATTTTTTGAAACAAAAATTTGATATTTAAAACTCTTATTTGTTATAGTATAACCAACTTTACAACATAACTAAGGATCATAACCAAAGACTAATTGAGGCATAATCAAATACCTCAGGCATAACTAAAATAAAACAACAAGTGATTATAATCAAATTATAATTTACATTACAATTAGTCATAGTCAACTAATACCAGAACAAATAATAATAAAAAACTACAAAAAAATCACAACTAGATGTGTTATAGAATTTTCCCAACTAAACCCACTTACACTTGTGATTGTAATATATACCTCTTAACTTGTCCACTAATGATTCTAATTTCTAATATAATCTGTAGCTCTTTATGGTTATTTATATACAGAACTTCTAAATTATTAAAAAAATATATCATTTTGATCTTTAATTTATGAAAGTGTACAAATGAATCCCTAAATTATTGTGAAATGTCACTTTGTCCCATAAATTATAAAAGCGTATAGATAAACCTCTTAAATTATAAAAACTGTACAAATTGGACCCCTAACAAAAGGGGTCAGAATGAAACATGCCCATAGTGTATAAAACTATACAATTTAGACCCCTAACGAAAGGAACGCCAATAGTTTAGGAGTCTATTTGTACGCTTTTATAATTTAAGGAACAAAATGATACTTCACAATAATTTAAAAAATCTATTTACAAGCTTTTATAACTTAGGAATTCAAAATGAAATTTTTCAACAATTTAGGAGGTCATGGTGTAAATAATCCCAGCTGAAATTATTGGTTATATTTCCACATTATTTGATAAAACTCTTCTATTTTGTTAATAAAAACAAGAGACAAAACAATAAAAAGGTATCTCCGACCAGGGAACAGAAGTTGCATTTTCTTTGTTTAATGGTAAAAGGCTGAATTTTGATGCAAACTGACAAAAATATTACCTTTTTTTTTTGTTTATTTATTTATTTAAGAAAAAGTGTGGTTGACTAGAAAATGGTACAATCATATTCAAAATTTCAAGCCTCATGTTTCTTACAGAAAGAAAATATGAGAAAAAGGCATAAAGGGACTACAACAAATGCTGCAAGCTTTAACAAATCTTCAGTCTCCTTTGAAATCACTCCAATCCTTGACCAGTCTCCACTATACCTTCATATTTAATTGTGCAGATTTTGCAAGTTAGAGTTGTGTGAGAGAGAGAGAGAGAGAGAGTAGATACTAGTAAAATATGAGAAAAAGGCACCAAGGGACTACAACAAATGCTGCAAGCTTTAACAAATCTTCAGTCTCCTTTGAAATCACTCCAATCCTTGACCAGTCTCCACTATACCTTCATATTTAATTGTGCAGATTTTGCAAGTTAGAGTTGTGTGAGAGAGAGAGAGAGAGAGAGTAGATACTAGTAAAATCTAAACACTACTATATCTATTTAGATCAGAAAAAATAAAATAAAACAAAATAAAAATAAAATAGTAGAAATAATTTCTAGGAGATTACCTCGCATCGATGAACCCCAATCCGAGCACTGTAATTGCAGACTGAGCAAGAATTGTGTTTGAAACTCTCAATGAAAAAATGGGTTCCTATTTGTCCCTTGATTTCTCACCCAGTTCTCTCTTTTGAGCTATTATTGTACTGCTTCTAAACTTTGTCCCATTTTTCTTCACAACCATGTGTGTAAGGACGTTGGAGATAACACTCTTTTCTGTGATCAGCATTTTCTTGTCCAAGTCCTTTCTTGCATATTCATTGGTGGCTATCATTACATACATATCCAAAAAAAAAAAAACTCAAGGTAAGTGTAAAAATATAGCGATCCCGGTTTTTCCCTTTCTTTTTTATTCCGGACTCGATTCCGTGATTGATGGTTATTGGTTGTGTTGCATTTCCATCCTTTAACTCTTAGTGAGTGAGTTTAGAAATGTTTTGGGCAGAGTTGTTATAGGTTGGTTGAGCTTTGGTCCCATTCCTCGTTGCCCAAATTTTTGGTGGTACGCTCGAGTAGGTACTTTTGCACTCGAGCGGAGTTTGATTTTTGGTTGTCCGCTCGAGTGGGTATCTTTGCGCTCGAGCGGAGTTTGCACACTTCCAGTATACGTGCCTCTGCAAAAGTACTGCAGGGTTGTTTTTCACGCTCGAGCGGATTTCTTCACACTCGAGCGGGCCTCTTTGCGCTCAAGCGGGTGTTCTGTGTCTGTGAAAGTACTGGAGGTGGTGAATCTACGCTCGAGCGGAACTTCTTTCGCGCTCGAGCGGGTGTGTTTTGCAGTTGTGTCTTGGTGCTCGAGTGGGTATTCTTGCGCTCGAGCGGGTCCAATTTTTTGTGCTTGACGCTCGAGCGTCCTATTTTCTGCTTGAGCGGACCTGTTTGTATATCACTTCGGGACTTCACCTTTTGGATCACTTTTTGATTTCCTTTTTCTCTCTTACTTTTTCAAAACTCCATTGCAGAGTCTCTCTCTCTATAATACCAACTTCTCTCTAGGGTTTGATCTAGTAGGAGTGATCCCCTATCCTTGGGCCTTTGTAAAAAGTGTTGATCTCGTTGTGGGCTACGTTTTGATCCGAATATCTTGAGGTTTGGAGCATTTCAAAATTCTTTATCTTCTCCATTTGAGCTCCGAGTTTGAGGTAGGGATTTCCTTGTTCTTTTACAATGCTTCGTCTATAGATAGACATGTGGTAGTTTTGTATTGCATGAAAATCATATCCATGTTGGGTTTGTTTGAAAATCATGAGGGTGAACCTAGGGTTGGTTGCTTAAAACTGGGTTTGTTATCATTGATGGTGATTTGGACTAATTGAGGTGTAAATTAGTACATTATTGTTGAAAGGAGAAAAAACCCTAATTTATGTTTGATTTGATAAATTAAAAGAGGGGTTTTGTACTTTGAGCCAATACATATGTATTTTGGGTCTCGAATGAGGTTATTGTTATTTGTCGTGGGTATTTGAGCCTTTTTGGTCAATATTGAGAAAGAGGGAGAAAAGCCCTAATTTTACTGTTATGAATTAATGTGCATACTTGATTTGGAAAGTTATGAAAGAATGAAATTGGTTTTGTGAAATGAGAGGAATGATATTGATTTTATGAAATGAAGAGGTTTTAGAATTAGAAAATCCTGGAAGTCGATCTTGGAAATGGGTAGTGTAATGTTAACTCCATGTGAGTTTTAGAAAATGAATATGAGAATTGAATTGTTGTATCTTGAGTGTTGAATACACACATTTGAGGGAAAATCGTTGTTGGATTTAAGATCTCATGAGAGGTTAAGTCTTTATAATAGATGTACTAAAATCATGCATCTAGAGGTTTTGTCCTTGGTCATCGGTGGAGGATGACATGGTTATGTTGAATTGTCGTGTATGCATTACACCTGTGTTGATTGAACATTGTATGTAATGAAGTGCTTTTGTACATTATATATGTATAAATTGTTAGGGAGGAGAAAGGTGATGTACTCCAGCGTGTGGGAGGAGATAGGGGATGTACTTCACACACCTATGCGTTCATATATTTTAACACATTGATTATGTATCTTGATAGTTCATGTGCATGTATTACACTTATTGGTTATACCTTAATATGTTGAGTTGGTTGATGTTATATACCGCGCTTATAATGAGGGGTACCATTACCTTCTAGCTAGTGCCTGGAGAATGTGGACGGGGTACCATTACCTTCCAGCTTGTGTCTAGAGAATGTGGCTAGTCATTTGTCGGGAGACATATCCTTGGCTTATTGTGCTTATAGCCGGTAGAGCAGAGTTTTATTGTTAATGCCCCAGTGTATCTGAGTAGTTTCGGTTGCGATGGTTACAATTTTGAAAGGCCGAGTTGCCTCATTTGATAATTATATACATGTTGATGATTTGTTGTCTCCCTTTTATTAAAGGCATGCATGTATAGATATGAATGTTTTGGGAACAAACCAAAATGACATTTTGAGATTTTGGAAAGTGTGAAGGAAATCGAGTATTTTGAAAATATGTTTTGAGGAAAAGCACATCTGTTGTAAGTATGGAAAATGGGAGGGAAGTAATGGGCTTTTAGTGAAATTGTTTTTCCTAAGAAGTTGTTATTGTTATGAAAGTTTGGGAACCGGGGGTATTGAAAGGAAAAGAAAGATGTATCGCTTATAGCGTCGAATGAAATGGTTGTTTTCGAGAAAAGCTCATACTTATGTATATTTTGTATAAACTGTCACATTACTATCGTAGTATGATATTGACCATTCATGATCATAACTATCTGTAAGTTGTTATTGTTGAGGATCATGTTGAGATCCCTACTGGACTATATGTTCATCCCACGTTGTTGAATCTTTTTCAGGTAATAAGCAGGATGTGCTACAAGATTTTGGATCTTCTTATTTGTCGGCCACGGGGCCTCTTTCTTGTTGGCGGAATGCCATAGATGTAAAAGGGTTACACTCCTTTTCTTGATTCTTTAATGATGTAAGCCTGCGGGCCTTTTATTCTGTATGCTCATGTTGTATTTAATTTGCATTCGAATGAGAGAATGGTTATTAATTTCTACTCATCGGACTAATGAGTTTATTTCCGCATGTTATCTCTGAAATTGAATTAAGTACTGAATTTGGTAATACCTTCAAGTAAAATAAAAGTGGGGCGTGACAAAAAATGTCATTTAACAAAAAACACAAACTCTAAATTTTCTAACATTTGATGAGCATTCAAGTAAAAACCTAAATAAAAGGTAATTATGTTAGCACACCCAACTTTATCTTAGTATGCATGTTTGTATTATTTCGATATCAATTGTCCAAAAATAATATTAACTTCCAAACAAAATTATTTGTTTGAATATCGTATTGAATAAAATTTTTATTTAAACAATAGAATTTTGTTTAAAATTGAAATTCGAACAATTAATTTTTGTTTCAAAGTTAATATTCAAACAACATAAATAATTTATACTTGGAAAAAAATAATGAGTTAGGAATAGAATTAGAGTAAAGATATAATTACCCAATTTTTACACAAATTTATAGACTATCTCACATGGGAGTATAAGAGAGTTCGTTGAATTTTGTGTGGAAAAAAAAATGATTCATTTACACAATTTTTTTCTCCGAAATGTGCTTTTGACCTGTAAGAAAATGATTATGACCTTTTTAACCGTCAAAAACATATTCGGGAAAAATGCAGAAGGAAAAATTGTATGGATGTAGCATTGCTAGTATAGAAAAATAGACATTCATTGTTGGTAATAAACTCAATGGACTGGGGTTTTAAAAACAAATAATGTTCGGTCCATACAAAATCCTCAGTTTGGTCAAGCCTGAATTATGTGGCACCATCAAAAGGACACAAAAAAAAAAAAAAACAAACCACGCTTTTCTTTGCTCTCTTTGTCTACGCCAACAATCCTCTCTCTCTTTCTCTCTCAAACAAATAGCGTGGTCTCTCTCTTCTCTCTCAGATCTGAATCTATGAAAAAAAATAAAGGAAGGGGTGATTGGAGAACCGACCTCCATACCGTCGCCACCACTTTTCTGCTAACCACCGTGAACCACCCACCCCCTTTCACGAACCTTGCCACTGCAAGCTCAACCCTCAATTGTATGGATGTAGCATTGCTGGTATAGAAAAATAGACATTCATTGTTGGTAATAAACTCAATGGACTGGGGTTTTAAAAAAAAATAATGTTCGGTCCATACAAAATCCTCAGTTTGGTCAAGCCTGAATTATGTGGCACCATCAAAAGGACACAAAAAAAAAAAAAAACAAACCACGCTTTTCTTTGCTCTCTTTGTCTACGCCAACAATCCTCTCTCTCTTTCTCTCTCAAACAAATAGCGTGGTCTCTCTCTTCTCTCTCAGATCTGAATCTATGAAAAAAATAAAGGAAGGGGTGATTGGAGAACCGACCTCCATACCCTCGCCACCACTTTTCTGCTAACCACCGTGAACCACCCACCCCCTTTCACGAACCTTGCCACTGCAAGTTCAACCCTCTTTTCCGCTATTGCAAATCATGGATCACTGCGCTAGAGAGAGAAGAAAGAATGGAAGGGGAAACGTGGGTTTAAAAGCACCATTTTTGTAATGCCCTCAAATTATTAAGAACAAAACAACATCCAACTGGACAAAAATATATATTTATATATATACCAATAATAACAACCAGTGATTACAAGATTAATCCCAAAGATTCTCTTTCTCAATGAACTATAAGTTGGGAATCACAACTTACATGAATAATTTTCATAGTTCAAAAAGCTAAAGAGAATTTATAACAAATGCACTACGAGCTTACAATCTTTAAGGTAAAGCCTTCATTGAACAAAAGAACTCATGGTCCCAAAACAAAACCAAAACTCCAAAATGCCATCTCCCATGTTTTGCAAAATGTTCTTGGCTCAAACAAAAAGTGTTGATCCATTCCTACTTCATTGGGGCGGTTGCTGCTCATCAAGCCCTGAAAATTTATTATATAGGAATGAACAATTGCCCAATAGATAATATATTTAACCAAGTATATAAATATTTGATTTAAATTATGCATAACCCATGACCCTTACCCATGAACACTAGTTCCACAATCCCATATTCCTATGTACATTATTCCAATTCATTCCACATTTCCACATTTCTTCGTCCTTAGACGGATGGCAAGGGGCACCTCAAGTCCTCCACATTCATTGTCCTCACATGATTGGACACGTGGACACCTCAAGCATTCCCACATTTATCATCCTAGCATGATTGGGCAAGTGGGCACCTCAATTTCCCAGC